ATAATACCTTATAGTCATGGATCATTTGTGTAATTTACTATTATTAAATTAAGATATTATCAATCCTGCTCAGTTGGTAGAGCACAAGGTTCTTAACCTTGAGGTCGTGGGATCGAGTCCCATAGAGGTCATTTCATAATTTGGAAGTCTCTTACGGAAGCTGCTCTCAACCTAGTGTTGGGGGCAACCTACTATCTTACCTCCCCTTACCCCATTACATATGGGAACAAGAGACCGTCATTTTATCAATCATGCAATTCTAGAGAAAGGAAAAATCATTCGACCATTTTTTCCTTGGCGGCAATGTTTCTAGAAACGTTAATGAAGGAATTGTCAAACGATAGAAGTTGGTGCAATGCCATAAAGCTTCGGGAATTAGGAAGGGCCACCGAATTTATGACATAGTTCGATAGCTCATAATAAAGGCCAACTTATGGACCATACTCTATACGGGACAGCTCTAATTAATAGCTTTAATTAAAGGCGTTTTTATAAGTTGGATAAGTTTGAATTTACACTGGCTAAAACTATTAAATTATAAATAGTATATGAAACATTTTTTTATAATTTAAAAATAATATTTATAATTATTATATATTGATGGAAAATATTATCTTTGTTTTAATTTATTTTAAGTTTAGGGTATAATGTCTAACTACTCTTCCTCTTTCTTATTAATAAATAATATTAATTTCCAAACAACTTTCCAAAGATATGATAAATAATAGTATGTCCACAAAAAATATTGAAAGAAAAAGTAATATATAATATTTTTTAAAGCAAAAATAATTAATATAAAAATATGTTTTAAAAATATAATTAAAACAGTATTTTTATATAGGATGAATTGAGATTTTGAAATTAAGTGAACTAAAAAGATTATTTTTATATAATATTGTGTGATTATGAAGTTGTATATGTTTACATATTTTTTAGTCATTAATAATGAACATATTCTTTAAACACAATTACCACTGAACGACAAATTAAATTGGATAAATTATACGTTTATTTACTGAATTTTATTTTTTCTCCTATTCACTCACCGTACTTTTAATTTTTTCAATTTGATCATTGAACTCTATACATTGAATTTTTTTTATCACTCTATCGTTAATTTTTTTGTAGTTTACCCGCCAATTTTTAGCCTTCTATAAAAGTCGTCTCCCTTCAAAGGAAAAAAAACAGAAGAAATTGGCATAGCATTCCTGGGTTAGGTCCCACAGTGTCGTCCTGACTACCAACACCTCTCGTAAATACGAAGATTCCCCGCCCTCTTTCTCTCTTCCTACCGTCAATTGAAGGGCTCTTTCTTAGACTCCCAATTTACATCACTTTCTAGCTTCCTTGCACAAAACCTGCTGGTTTTACTTCCTTGCATTCCTGCAATCCTCGATATTAGTAGGTAATACTTTGAAATTGTTGTGAAAATAGATCTATCTGCATTGGCTGCTTCTTTTCTTCTCATTTCAAATTCGTCGATTGATCAAAAGAGTTAAAGTAAATATTGTTTTTATTGAAAATTGATGTAGAGAGATCTGTTGTTTAGAATCTGTGTTTATGGATGAATATTTAAAGGCTCTTTTGGTCGTTCATTGAATGCCAATGGCAATGGTTGAAGCATTGAACCGGGTCGTATATGTATTATTTTTTCTTTTTATCTTTTTTGGTTATCTGTTTTCCTTCTATTATTTTCATTAAATAGAGGTGACATGACATATTAATTTCTTGTTAGGTGGGGACTTAGCTGATAGCGGATGCTAACTGCTATCAACCTTCTTCTTTTTTTGTGAAACCCATAACATTTTATAAATTTTAATTTTCTTTTTAGATTGTAAAACGGGGATAATTAATATTGTGATTGAGTTTTGTGTGCAGTTGAAATGTTTCTTCGGAGAAAGCATACACAGAAGGATGATCCTGAGCAACGAGATTCAAAGGTAATATTTATTTACTTATTTATTCATATTTGCATCTGAAGGAGAGCAAATTTCGTTAATTTGGTTTCTAGCTTTATCATTGTTTTTTGATCAAAAGATTGGAAAAACTGGCAAGTGCAGCAAAGTATCGATTTGGGTTATGCAAACGGGCAGATGTCAAAATTCGAAGACTCAAAACATTCGAATTTTCTTTTAACCAATTGTTGAGTTGAAATTAAAAATGGATGTAAACTGTAAATACTTGGTTGTTATGCAGGTCAGTGAACTCAGGGCTGCTATAGGACCATTGTCCGGTCGCAGTTCAAAGTACTGCACTGATGCATGCCTGAGGAGATATTTGGAAGCTCGGAATTGGAATGTTGACAAAGCAAAGACAATGTTGGAAGAGACATTAAAGTGGAGATCGACTTATAAGCCTGAAGAAATCCGCTGGGTATTTTAGATGAATTTCTGCCTCCAGACTTTGCAATTTTGGTATCGTGCATGGGTTTTGATATTTAAAAGCCTGTTGCAGTTTTATAAACTTTGTAGTTTAGGTGGAGTTTGAAACATATTTAAACAGTTTTGGCATTTTAGATCTTGATATGCAATCAAATTTTGGGGATTCTGATACTCGAAATTGATCCTGGCCCCCTGCCTTCTACTTTGCTCACTCATCATGTGCTTCATTATGAGTATATGTGTTATTAACTATTCTATTGACTCGAATGTGGATGTAGGATGCAGGCACGTGTGATATGGGTATGTTCAATTTTTTAAAAGTTTGCATTTGGAAAATCCTCAAGGGCAATATCCTTGTACTGATGTCCATATAGTTAAATATGCATACTTCAAGGAAAATGAAAAGTCAGCAAATTTTTGGTGATAACAACTTTATTTTTTATTGCTTGAACTCACATCATGTCTTATTCTTCTCCAGCATGAAGTGGCGCATGAAGGTGAGACCGGAAAAGTTTCCAGGGCAAATTTTCACGACCTTCAGGGAAGGACTGTGCTTATAATGAGGCCTGGAATGCAGGTCTGTACCATGTTTCCCCTCCATTCAGTTTTGTTTGTAACAAAGCTTTTCTAAATTCGCCCTTTTTAATTTTTCCATCTGTATTTCTTGGTAGAATACAACATCAGGAGAAGACAATATCCGCCACTTGGTCTATCTTCTAGAAAATGCTGTCATGAATCTTGCCGAGGGCCAGGAACAAATGTCCTGGTTGATGGACTTCACTGGCTTTTCATTGAACACCAATATTTCTATCAAAACATCCCGTGATATCATTCACATTCTTCAAAGCCATTATCCAGAGAGGTTGGCCATTGCTTTCTTGTACAATCCACCAAAGATTTTTGAAGCATTCTATAAGGTTTGATCTCCTGCGTTTCTTTTTGTCTAGTTTAGGCTACAAGTCCAATTAATTGAGCATCCTTATTTCTGATCTTTGTTCCAAACAAATCTTTGTAACTTCTTTCTCATAGAAGTGGGTTATGAGTCGGTGCTGATTTATACCATTAATTGCGAGACAGGCGAACTTAGTGACTCTGGCCAGTAGAGTGTAATAGGCTACTCATAATGCAATTAGTTTCGTTAAGTTGCCATATGTCAATCCTAGATTGGGACTTTATATAATATGAAATTTCGCATGACTTTTGATTGATCTTTCTTATGTAAAATTTCGTAGGCGACGAGGTATTTTCTGGATCCTAAAACAGTTCAGAAGGTGAAGTTTGTGTATCCTAAAAATAAAGATAGCGTGGAGCTCATGAAAGCATACTTTGATGTTGAGAACCTCCCGAGTGAATTTGGGGGAACCGGAACGCTGAAGTATGACCATGAAGAATTCTCACGGTTGATGGTTCAGGATGATGTAAAAACTGCTAAGTTCTGGGGAATTGACGAGAAGCATCATCACATTGGCGATGGCAATGGGCATTCATCAGCTGAAGTGGCACCACAGCCAGCGCCGATTGCGCAGCAAGCAAGCTAACTAGCTATTGCCCGGAGTGTTCTGTCAGAAACCAAGTGATGTAAAATATACGTAGGGCCGGGCTTCAATAGGCAGACTTGTATCAGTTTGAATCAACTCATTGGCACTGTATATCAATATCCACTTGCTAGCTAAAAGCTCATAACTTGCTCTCAGTGCTAATCATTAAGATCAAAAGAAACCCTCGCTTTTTTTAGTAGTCTGGTTGGTGTGATTATAAGTAGGGACAAACACACTATTTTATGTTAAGTAACGAAATTATAAAAATTTAAAAAGAGTAACTTTTTAAGTTTTAGCGTATGAAAATAAATTATTAATAGAAAATACTAAATAATTATTAATGCTATCTATTTAAATTAAATAATAATATAAAATATTTAAGTGACTTTCTTTTTATTAATATGATATAAGTACAAGATAATATCTGTTCAAAGATAACTCTCAATCAAATTTTGAAGGAGGTTGGGAGGGGCACTGATTCGTAATGTTCGTGGGTTGGGGCCGTAGTTGGATCACTAGGATGGTTTTTGCTTCAAGGGAACACAATCGACTGGTAGACTGTATGGCGAAACTGGCATAGACGAGACCATTTGAGATGAAGGTGTACCATGATCCACCGCAAGAAGTGTGGCAAGCTTTCTATGCAGACAGATCCATCATCTAAGTTCTGCTATGCTTTCCTTCTTTAACATGAAAGATAATTCTTAACCATTTGACAATAAATACTTTCATCCCTGAAATTTTTTGTTGCCAAAATCAAGATATCAAAAGATAACAATAATTCATTTTTCATAGATATCATTTGGTTAAAAATATATTATTTTCCCTAACAATACCCAGAATATGAAATAGATGATGAAATGAAAATTCAAAAAAATATTAAAAAAATATCACATCATTATCTTCAATAATTTCTTAACAGTGTCCTACTAAAATAAAAATAAAACGATATGATAAACGTGTTTCTGAAAAATAAGAATTGAATGACCCAATCATAAATAAAGTAATAGATGAGTGACTGAAGAGATAGTTTACCCAAAATATAATCAACGCCTTTAAAGCACTTTCCCCCTTCTTCCTCCGAAAGCATAGTACAAGAGACGTCTGTGAACCAAAGCCGTACAAACGAAGAAGAAGAAGAACCGGCGAAAATGACTCTGGGCTTGATCAATGCAAACCCGGTGGTTCACGCCAAGAAAGAACGTGTCGCTCGTAATGAAGGTCCTCACGGTGACGACGTCGTTGATCCACTCGAAATCTATGATATCCTTCTTATACTGTTCTTGGTTTCATCTTTTCTATCTGATATTGAAAGAGTTAATTGGCTAAGATCTAATTTAGATTTCAATTGCATTTTTAGCTGAGAAATAGTAATTTCCGTATTTGCTTTTTTCTCTTAATTTCTTGATCATTATAATTGGAAAACGATGCTAACGAAATGTAAAAAAAATGTTGTGATCTTTGACTGGAAGTGCAAATTTTGTGAGAGATATTAGAGATCCTGAACATCCGTATTCTTTAGAGCAGCTTAGTGTTCTGTCTGAGGAATCAATAACTGTTGATGAGAAGCTGGGCCGAATTCTGTGAGTATTTTCTCTCTTTAATTTCGATTTTAACTTCGTGAAATTGTGTAAAATTGAGCTTGAAATTAGTAAATTTTAGTTTTCAGGTTCAGTTTATGAACTTTGGTGCTTGATTTATAGTTTAATTTAAGGGGGTTTTCTTTTTCGTTGGTTCTTGAAATTAATTCTTCCACATTTATTTATTTATGAGGTAATATAATTGATTAATTGTTTAGGATAACGTTCACTCCCACTATCCAGCATTGCAGCATGGCGACAGTAATCGGTCTGTGCCTAAGGGTTAAATTAAAAGAATGCTTTCCTCCACAATTTAAGGTGAGTTTTTGTTCTATAATCAAAGTTTATGATGTTTTTTGTTCTATTGCATTGTTTTCGTAGAAATCAATACTACTGAAAATAGATTCAGTTCCCTCTTAAGTTCTAAAGTGATGAAACCTAAGCTGTTGTTAATGATTTGTCCTTGTAGGTTGATATTAAAGTCGCCCCCGGATCTCATGCTGATGAAGAAACAGGTGAATTTATAAAGCTTGTAAAAGTTTTCTTTGCAACAAATTTTGAGTATTTTCCCCACAAGCATTATTTTTTAGTGTTAGGGACTTGTTGTTCAAGTTCCATTGTCGACATAATAATTTATGTGGGATAACTTGAAGAGCATAGCCAACAATTTTGTTTTCCCTTGCTAAAGTGAGAATTCACTGCATTAAAATATATCATATGGGAAAAGATGTAAAAGATGTCTATAGATTCATATAGGTGGTCTTCTTTTAATGGAATTTCTTTGATATGATTTTAGGCGTAATGGGATTTCAATGTTTTAACTTGTTCTTTCTTAACAAAAGTTAAGGGGTTTTATTTCCTAGAAAGATGAGAGAGAGATTAAATGAAGAGAATGTATGATACTGGAATTCAGGTGCTAGAGTCGAATAAGGGTATGTATTCGAAAAACACGTTCAAAGTTTTTCCGCGTATTTGAAGTGTCCTTATAGTATTACATCTCAATATCCATGTATGGATACGTGTTAAAAGGGGGGAAAAAGTAGACTTTGAGCAATAAAGAAGAGATTAAGAGAATAATACATTTGTTTGAGTTATTGAACTTCTTTACTAGTTTTCCGTTCATCAACCTTTCTTGCTCTTGTAAGCTATAAATTCTATTACAATTTGCATGTCCGGCGAGCGATTTCTAGCATGTAATGTTTTATCACTATAGAAGCAGCTTATCTCTTTCACCATTCATACCTCTGAGTCTCCTGTCTCCTTATCTAATTTTAAAAATGTTCACCATGTTCAATCTTCAGTTAATAAGTTGTTGAACGATAAAGAAAGAGTTGCTGCTGCCTTGGAGAATCCTAACCTTCACCAACTTGTGGACGAGTGCCTTTACTCCAAAGAACTTTGAAAACAAGTGTGCTCAGCTGTTTTAAAGCGTATTGTACAGGTTAAACATCAGCCACCTCTAAATACAGTAAGAAATAACATAGTTGCAGCGTAATTCTCATTTGCAGAATGTATATGCCTTATGCGTGTCGTCGTCGTTGCGTTTTGCAGAAGAGTATATCTAGGATATCGCTATGGTTTTTTTTATTATGATTATTGTATTTTTTTTGGCGTTCTTTCATATGGCAATTTGTGACGATGAAAGCATGAGAAACTTTGTTTTTTTTTTGTATGATGGAATTCAGACGCAGGGGCATGTTAATGGTTGTTTTTATTTAATACATGCAGGTATGAGTTACCCTGGATTGAATATTTGCAATTTCTGGAAAATTTAAAGGATAAGGCCAAAAATATCACTAAATTATTTCAAAATGATATTTTTAAGCATTGAACTTTCTAAAATTACAAAATGGACATTAAAATTTGCTTATTATTAGCATTAAATTTGAGTATTATTATTCTAATTTCAATTATCTATAAAAGTAAAATGGATTAAGATAATAAATACATGAATCCATTATATGTGAAACAAAAAGGAATTCTGATGATTAATTTTTGAGAGTTTATATTAATGTTGTTAGAATCAAACTGGTCGATTGAACTAAATTAATCAAGAATCGGCAGTACGATTGGTTCAATCTGTGGCATAAAATCGGATATGGAGTAACCCGTTACAAATTGCTAAATGAATACCAACCGAAAAAAGGGCATGAACCGGCTACAAGGCCTTTTATTATTTGGTCGAGTGATCAAGTTCATCTTTAATTTTTTTCATATTTAAATTCATGAGTATTATCTACATTTGCAATATCTAAATTCATGAAAGATGAATTGAGTACCACAAATGTCTGAATACGACTCCGGTAAACAAATGGTAGTGGGAGCAAATAATATATACAATATGATAGGTATAAGAAATAGGACAAAGCACAGGGTTGAATTGCAGGAAAGCTGGAATGGTGATGGTTCTGGTGAACAACTCGGTGAGCTTAATAAGCACAAATGAAGAGGGAAAATGGCAAAGACAGCAGAAAAATGTAATGAGATTCTGCCAAAATTTAGTACATGAAGAATTACTTCAATCATACAAAATTTTTTGGTAGCATCCGAGTTCGCTTGTTAAGAGTAATGTGATGTGCCGTTCTTAGGAAAATATTGATGTATTCGTGGATCAAAATGTGAAGCTTCTTCAAGCTGGTAGGATATGCTGGTCAGAAGCTCCTACTGTTGTTGTCATCCAGAAGCCATACACAATAGCTCTGTTTCCTAGGCGTGTTGAGTTAGTGTGACTAAATCCAAAGATTGGATTTTACCTATCTTAAATTTTGTGCACTTTCACTTATTATTTGCAGATTCGCTCCCTTCGATATCCATATCCTTTGGTACAGACTATTGTCCTCCATATGCTCGTCATCTTATAAAAAGTAACAATGCCATAGTTGTAGCTTCAAATAACTCAGTTTATGGGTTCTTCCCTGTTCCTATTGGTGCACAGGTATTTCTATATTCTTAGGAAGTTCAGTGCTATCATATGAAACTTGATCCATATTTTATCCCATTGTTTATGCTTTAACATCATATTTTGTTTCAGAAACCCTTTTAAAATTTTTGTTGACTCTGGCATGCAAATGCTAACACTAAAGAAGTTCTTTGAACATTGCATCAAAAGATTCATTCTTGCATTGCAGATTGTTCAATTAACAGCATCTGGAGATTTTGAGGAAGCACTGGCCTTATGTAAACTGCTTCCGCCTGAAGATGCAAGCCTTAGAGCTGCAAAGGAGGGGTCTATTCATATAAGGTGGATTTTCCCTCTTAACAGTTATTACTTTGTGCAACTACATAAAGTTAAGTGGCCTGTATGATGTTTCATAAGAATTATTGACGTGCTTATCTCATGTTTAAAATGCTACTGTATCTGTATACCCCTTTTAGAAAACTTTTTGACATAGCCTACTCTTCTCAAGGTCCTTGCCATAATAGCATATGAAACATCTATTTCTTACTTGAAACCTGTCTTTTCCCTGGTATATTAATCATAAATTTCTACATTCTATTCAGGCATATTGTTTGTTCCTTGCATTATACAGTATGGTTAAACTGTATTATCATGTTGTTGCAGATACACTCATTATCTTTTTGACAATGGCTACTATGAAGAGGAAATGGAGCACTTTTTGGCATCTCAAGTAGATATTACTTACGTGCTTTCTTTGTATCCATCAATTGTTCTTCCAAAAACAACTACAGTTCACGGGCCAGAGAAGTTGGTTGATGTCTCTCTGGATGCTTCACAACTTTCAAGAGATTCATCTTGCCTGTCAGATGATCTGGAAACCTCGCTTATACGACCATCAGAATCTGATGAGAATGCAGCACTTGAGTTCAAGAAAATGAGCCACAATACTCTCATGGCTCTTATTAAGTGCCTACAGAAGAAGAGATCTGGTATTGTAGAGAAAGCTGCCGCTGAGGGAACAGAAGAGGTAGTTTTAGATGCCGTTGGGGATAATTTTACTTCAACTAGGTTTAAGAAGTCAAATAAAGTGAGGTTAATTTCACTTTTCATCAATGAATGCTAAAGTGAAGCATATTTTATTATCCTATGAGTACATTAGAGTTCAACTTTTTGCTGAAACGCACAATTTTACAGACACAAACCAACTTAATTTTTCATATATTCAATCCCTATATGCTGTTAATATCCCATTTCTCTTCATATCTTATTTATAGAAGTATTCTTTTTCCATGATCTTATACAATGTTTGGTCCTTTAGGGGCGTGGCAACATTTCAATCAACTCAGCTGCTAGGGAGATGGCTGCTATACTGGATACAGCCCTCCTCCAAGCTCTTCTTCTTACTGGACGATCAGCAGCAGCTTTAGAATTGTTGAAATGTCTTAACTATTGTGATGTAAACACATGTGAGGAGCTTCTTCAGAAAGGGAATCATTATACTGCTCTGTTAGAACTTTACAAAAAGTAACTCAATGCACAGTGAAGCTCTTAAACCACTACACCAATTAGTGGAAGAGTCGAAAACAAACCAATCGCAGGCTGCGCTCATCCAAAATTTAGTTCTGAGGCAATTATTGAATATCTCAAGGTCAGTTTGCAGTAGCAGGAAACATTTCTTCGCTTATTGCATTAAATTATTTTAACTTGATTTATCGATACTAAATATGTTTATGCTGTGGGAGCATTGGGATTTTGGGGCAATCTATCTCATGTGGAACATGGAAGGTAAAATCTTCCTTCTTTATGAAGGAAACTTTTTGATGTTTACCCAGAATAATATGAGAAGACATAATTTTGTTATGGTCTGACCTTATGGACCATGTTTTCTTGGCATTCAGCATTTTTACTGCCTTTATTTGATGCGATCTTTTTGTCCTCGGCTCGAGAACATTCCGTGATAGAACTTAACGAAAACTTTGGCTGGTTTTGTTTGCAGCCTCTTTGTGGCACCGATCCAATGCTTGTTCTCGAGTTCTCAATGCCTATTCTTGAAAGCTGCCCAACACAAACCATTGTGCTGTTTTTGTCTGGAAATATTCCAGCAGACATGGTCAATTCTTATTTAAAGCAGCATCTTCCAAACATGAATGAAAATGGGATCTCAGAGAACTTGCAGAATGAAATGGTAAAGACCTTTTGCTTTAATTAAAATAACTTATCATTTAAAGCCACTAGAGTTCTCATTGTTGCCACTTCTGTTGATGTTGGTTATGGTGTAGCTCATATTAATAGCAATGACTTTTGTAGGTACAAATCTATCTCTCAGATGTACTTGAATGGAATTCAGAACTAAGTGCTCAACGGATATGAGAAGGCTTATTCTCCAACAAGGAAGAAATTATTGTCTGCACTAGAAAGCATCTCAGGATACAATCCAGAGGCTCTGTTGAGACGTCTTTCTCCAGATGCTCTATTTGAAGAGCGTGCAATTTTGTTGGGAAAATTGAACCAACACGAGCTTGCTCTATCACTATACGTTCATAAGGTAATTTCAGCCATGGTTCATATCCTAAAAAATGCTGAACCTGTTGTTATGCTAAGGGCTAAGGCCACAATAACACAATTTTTCAGAAGAGTAGCATATATATTGTTCATTCATACCTTTTCACCCCCTCTCCTTTTCTTTTCAAAGTAAAATCTGTTGTTTTTCCTTTTAAATATGCTTCTAATAATGAATTCCTCTTGACCTTTATAGCTTCGTGTACCTGAAATGGCATTGGCCTATTGTGATTGTGTCTACGAGTCTGCGGTTCATCAACTACCGGGAAAATCTTCTGGCAATATATACCTCACTCTTTTACAGATTTATCTGTATCCTCAAAAAACAACCAAGAACTTTGAAAGGAGAATTGCGAATTTGGCGTTATCCCCAAATACAAGTGTTCAAAAAGTTGGTTCAGGAGCTTCAATGAGATCAAAAGGAGGACGTAGGAAAATTGCCTCAAGAAAAGGTGCAGAGGATATGCGTATTAGTTCGAGCCACACTGATAGTGGTAGGAGTGATGGTGATATTGAAGAATCTAGTGAGGAAGGAGATTCCACTGTAATGTTTGATCAGGTACTTGATCTTTTGAGTCGAAGGTGGGATAGAATCAATGAAGCTCAGGCACTCAAACTCTTATCAAGGGAGACTAAACTACAGGTATTTTGTAACATCTGAATGCTTGCAAAAGATCATGAAACAGTTGCATCTGATTCTGTGGTTATTGATATAAAAGTCCTTCATGAATATGGTTGGCCCTCAAATATGCTTTGTTAGATTCCTTTTAGGCATCTGAGTATCAATGGTAGGTTCTTTCTTTAATGTATTTTGTCTTCCACCTGCAGAATTTGCTTCCATTTCTGGAACTTCTTCTGAAAAAAGTCCAGTGAAGCATACAGGAACTTCTCTGTCATCCAGAGGTTGAGGCAGAATGAGAACCTACAGGCATGCGAGTTGTGTTACTTTTAAATCTGAGAATAAATGACTTATGATATGAGATCTTCCTGGTAGCATATGTATGTATAAAATTATTTTCATGAAATGGTAGGTCCCTCAAGTGTAATTTGTTTCTTGGCCTTCTTTCGTTCAAGATCTTTCTCAACTCACGAATCATATGTGACAGGTGAAAGATGAACTCTACAACCAAAGAAAAGGTGTTGAAAATCTCGAGTGTTAGTATGTGCGCTCTCTGCAACAAGAAAATTGGAACAAGTGTATTCGGGTAGAGTATTCGCCGTCTACCCAAATGGGAAAACATTGGTTCACTTT